CCCTAAACCCTAAACCCTACCGGTCAGGAAGAAGCAGGATGACGGCAGCTTAGAGGTCATGAAGCCAAGCGAGGAGGCAAGCAGACCCTTGAAGTCGAAAGTCTGATTTCAAGTTTAAGGGTTAGGGCTTAGAGTTNNGTTTTCGGTTTAGGGTTTAGGATTCTGGGTTGAGGGGTCGGAATTGGGTTTTGCACTTTTGTTGTTCATCGACCTCAGTTTGTCAAATTTTGAGCCCATGATCCTAGACTCTAGATCCCGTTTGAGAAACTTGCGTGATTACGGTGCCGGTTAGGGTTAGCGATCGATTGGCTTTTCTTGGGTCACTGTTGCAATGCCATCCCGGATATTTTGAGGCTTCTAGCTGGGGCCTACTTGCGTTAGCTACTGACAGAGGTGATTTACAGCACCCACCCAGTAGCAGTCTATAATGGGGGGAATTTTCTTGGCCATTTGTATTTATAGTATAAATATTTTCCGCCTGTTGCTGAGCCGAGGGCAGTACCCAACATAGAGGGTTGAACACTCAGCAATGTTGAGATAGTACCGGCAACCCTAGATGCAGTTCCAGAATTTCACGTGCATGCGCCCAAGGTCGAAGCCATCCTAAATCCTGCAGCCCCAACCCTAAATTGTTTTGTAGCTAGGTTCAAAGGGGCTCTGCCACTAGCACCCTAGCTTGTATGCCTCAGAAGAATATTTCTGAACATAGCCACCAGGCCTTGAAGTCTAAACCCCACGCATCCTAAACTCCTAAATCCTTGACCCTGAACCCTAATAGCCTAAGCCCGAACTTTGTTTGAACGTATGAACCAACACCCTTTGGCTGCTATGGGCGTTCTGAAACGCCCGACGTAATGAAGGGAACAGCCGCAGATCAACCACCTCAATTTTTGGAGCAGGAAGATTTTCAGGAAGACATGGAAATTGGCCCTCCTCAAATAAACCCTAAACCCTAAACTTTCCAGCACATATGGACTTTTACAGTCTCTGCTCAGACTGGCACCGACACTTCACCCAAGCATCTCTGAGTTGCCCCCCACGAGCTAGTTAGGGTTTAGGGTTTAGGGCTTAGGGTTTAGGGTTTAGGGTTTAGGGCTTAGGGTTTAGGGTTTAGCAGTTAGGATCCACGGAATTTGGCAATTATTAAGCGTGTAGGGTATACTACATAGGTGGTGGAAGATTTCCTTGATCAAAAGTAGGTGAAAAGGCCCTGTCCCTTCATGTGAGTTTCATGTTGTTTTGGCGCAGGCTGTTCCTTGACTCTAAACATAAGCAGCTAGGCTGGGTGGCTTTTGTATCTGAGCTTTTGGGGGGGGGGTTGGGGGGGGCATCTGCAGGTCAGGAAGCAAAGCAACCAGTACCTCAACAAGTAGGGTTGAGGGTGTAGGGTGTAGTTGGGAACCTTCCTGAAACTCCTGAGGTAGGTGCATACATGGATCCAGCATACCACCGGGGTAGCTCTAAGCATGGATATGCCGGAAACATACACGAGCCTCGTTAAGTATTCTAGACTCCTGTAACAGTTGGCGCAGGTTGCTCCGGTTTTCATCTGGGAGTCCAGCAGGAATATGATCGACCATGGACCCACACTCAAGTACAGGGGGCGCCTGGGCATCAACTTGTGAGCTACGGCTTCAATGCCCAGGGACTTTTCGCAAGCAGTCCATGGGCATGCACGGGTCCTGTAGGAGCGGTTTTGAGCATTGCTCCATCTTCCGGGTTTGCGGGACATCGAGTTCAAGGTGTTTCGTTCTGGTTAGTCCTGAACTTTACCACATAGTGTGCAAGGCCTGGGCAGCCTTACATGGCGCAGTCATGATTCGTGATTGTACGACACTCCCTGGGTCCCCCACTTAAGCCGTTTCCGAGTGTTTTGGGGACGTAGGCTCCGGCCGGTTTGATCCCTAGGTTGCTGTGGGGTCCTAGATCGGGACTATACTTGTAAGTCTTTCCATGAAGCTAGGTTTGTGAGAGAGTTCTTACTCCTCACAAGGTCACGACTACAACATGCGCAGCTTATTTGTCGGTTGTCTGGCGCAGGATGTATGCTAGCAAAGGTTTGGAGGGCAATAGATATCATCATATCCAATTAGGCTTTTCTTTTTGTCCACGATGCGCCTGTGGTTCTTTAGGTCACGATGTAGTACAGTATACTACAATGGGTGTTTTAATATCTTGTTTTGGGAACATACAGTATAGTATGATTGAACACAACGCATGTTGTCTAATTTGTCCTGTATATAATACAAAACCTCGAAGCCACAGCCCTCAGCCCCAACCCTACATTCACGACCAACACCCATATCATGCACCCTGTTGCTGTTGATAGACCGTCTAAAGTCCCCCGACTAATGTAGCTTCCACTTCGGTGGAACGAAGGGTAGTGCAGGATTTCCACGGCCAGTAGCGGTATTTTCATTATTACGAATGCTAGTCACACTTAAAACCCGAAACCCTAAAACCTGGGCTTTGGGATAGTCGCCTGCCTTAGTGGGCTTTTCGTGTTACAGTCGGAAAAAGGCGCAGGAAAAAAGAGAGAAACACCTAAGCCCCAGACCCTTAACCCTAGAGCCTGAGCCCCAGACCCTAAACCCTAAAACCTAATCACTAAACCCCTAACCCTAAACCCTGACCCCTACCCTAATATCTGTAATCCCTAACCCCCTAAACCCTAAACCCCAAGACAGAAGTGCAGCCGAGTTTGGTCAATCGCCTCAGCGGCGTGCACATGTTCACCAAGGTTGGCTTCCCTCTGGTTGTTTAGGGTTCAAGATTTAGGGTTTGGGTTTAGGGTTTGGGGTTTAGGGTTCAGGATTTAGGGTTTAAGGCTCAGAATTTGGGGTTCAGAGTTCAGGACTTCAGGCTGCGAGCTTCGCAGCTTGCCATGAGTGCGAGTTATGGAGGCTGCAGGCTGGAGGCACGTCAGAGAGGCCTCCTTCAAAAAAGGGTTAAAGTTTAAAGGGTTCAGGAACTAGGGTTTTGAGTTCAGGAATTGGTGTCTAGGATGCAGGTTTTAGGGTATAGAGTTAGGGTGATGCAAGTACATCGCCCGGCGACATGCTCAGCCAGGTTGCAAAAAGGGTATAGAGTTAGAGTTGGAGCTTCAATTTACATCGCGAGATGCCTCTGAAGGTAATAGCAACCCTTGTAATAGTAGTAAGTGGTAACAACAGCCTGACAGCAATAAAAGTAAGACTAAGCTTGAAGTGAAGTAAGTTCCTAATCAATAAAACCCTATAAACTACCCTATAATCCCAGCCCATTTCTTTTCCATGTGATTCTCCAGTATTCGGGGGGTGATATCCCTAAACCCTAAACCTCAAATCCTAATCAAGAAGCCTTCATTCCTGCAAAGCGTGAGAAAATAAGTTCCAAGTTTTACGTTGCTTCAGTTGGTGGCAGAATGATGGAGACAAACAGGCTACACCCTAAACCGTATAGAACTCCCAACAGTTTTTTCAAGCGACATCCCTTTAGGGATCGGGTTCTTCTTCAAAGTAGGGTGCTCAGTACGGCTGAGGGTTTAGTGTCCCAAAAACCGCGCCTGCAATTATGAAAAAATTCCGGCGAACGTATCATAGATGGTAGCTTACCTGTGACCTCCCGGCCAACGGTAGGTTGGCATGCTCGAGCTCATTCGAGAGCGGTGCATCGAGAGGGACATCCCCATCAACTTCCCACCGTTCCTCCAACCTGTTCATGGGAGTTTAGGGTTTAGTGAATCAGGTTTCCTTGCTTTTAACCAACTAGACGGGCCCTTCGTACCAGGGGAGCTCCAAGAAAGGGGCCGTGATGTTGTCAAGGATTTCTTGGCTGTAGGCACTGGAGGGCGTAAAGGGTGGGTCATTCGAAGCATCAGGAGAATGCAGCGATTCTCGGCGGGGCCACATTGTCCTTCAGCGTTGGGGGTTGTTTGTATGGGGTTTCAAGGCTTGGAGTTCAGCAGTTGAGTGTATGGGGCTTGATGGTTTTTGTTGCATGCGAAGCTGTAACCCATGGAGGTTTTGGGACGCCCTAAGCCCTAAACCCTAGGCTCTAAATCTCTGGATACCATGTGAGCCAAGGCCATGGTATCCGATGACTTTTGCCCTCCCCGATGACTTGGAGCAGTGGAAGCGGCACGCGGAGGCTTGCGTTCCTATCAGTGGCTGTGTTTCGGGTCAAGTGGATGCATGATAGTCCCTTCCCTCTAAACATGAACCCCCAGAACCTTGATGGATACTCAGTATCAGACCATCGGATATTAGCGGGAATTCGGAATGTACATTTGTGTATATATACCCATGCATACGTTTGGGGAGGGGGGGGAGTGGTTATCATTAGGGGAAGGCGTCAGTCAGGTCAACTGCACCCTAAAGACGATCCCAACTTCCAACCCTAAATCCGGCCAAACTGCGACGACCTGACCCGACCTCACTTGAAATGGTGTGCAAAATACGACATAGGGCCTTCTTTCAGGCTTTCTAAATCCGCAGATCTTGGCCAGTAAAACGCTGAACTCTAAACTCTAGACCCGAAATTCCTGACTACCTAAGTCCTGGGAGACCTCTTGCAAGGCAAACCCGCACAAGAAGTGGATCTACAAGCCCAGCTGCGAGGCGGGAGTTTATGTAGTGACTGTTTACCAGAGCTAGCTTAGGTGGACCCCCCACCCAGTAATAGTGACGATAGGGGATAATAGGGACTATATTAGGGTCCTCTTATATTCCTATTATGCCACTATTGCAGGGTGGGGGGTCCTCCTAAGAGCTAGCTTAGGGTATTTAGGGCATGTTGTAACAGGTTTAGGGTTTTGGTGTGTCATCTTCGTTTTGTGAAAAGCGCACAGTTGGATCCCTAATAGTCAGATGTGCAACATCCCTTAACTCAAAATCCTCAACTCTATGCCCATTCCAGCAAACCTAGCACGCAGCTATTCTTGGACTCTCTGGGCTTGCAGCCTAGGGCCCCGTATGTGATGTCTGTCTAGAGGCTTCAGGGTTGCGTTCAGGGCTTAGGGCTAGGGGCTTGGAGGTGCAGAAACCAGGTGAAGGTAAGGAGGGTCGATAGGCTAATGTAGACCCCTGATTAATAAACCCCCTCTTTCAGGGGCCTTAATATTAGGATCCTTATTCTAATCCCTATCAATGGGAGGCTTTCAGGGGCCTTAATCTTAGGATCCCTTTTCTAATCCCTATCAATTGGAGGGGGTTTATTAATTACTTATGGGTCTACATTAACGACATGTCGTTCTTTGTCAGGCAATGGGCAGAGGCATCATCTTGGTGGCGAGCTCAGATTTTGGCCTGGTGGCCATACCTTGAAAGCATGACCTGAACCCCCCAAAGTATTTAGAACACTGGCCTTCTTGGCTATATTTTGGGACTATTATTTTACCTACTTTTGGGATCCAGGTATATACAGTTCAGATTAACCGGGCGCATATTTAAGACGATACCCATTGTGGCTATCAACCCAGGACTGCTCCAGGAGGCCTAGTTTACCTTGTAAGAGGGAGGTCCACATGCCGGGCCGTATGGGGACATCATGTGAGGCTGCATTGCATATCTGTTCCCAGGCTGGTTGAAGTTGAGATTAGAAGTGTTGCCTCTAACACTTATATTTACCTTACCAGACGAGGAGTACAGCAAGTGTCTCAGGAGGTCCGCTGCTATGTATCTACCCACAGAACCCTAAACAACACTTGCAACGCCCAGGTCAGCAAGATTTCGGACGTAGACTCGAAGGTACCATGGATGTTCGCTTGCCAAGCCAGCTCTGCGTGCTGCCTCTCACACACTACATGCGTGCTGGCTCCCGGATACGACCTTAAGTCTCGAATCCCGAGCCCCGAGTCAATGCACGTCGCCCAATTGCCACATTCTTTTGAGGATTGTGCCAAAGCGTTCTGCAATGGAGTGGCCAAATTCATGGAGCAAGCGCCTGAACCATAAACACACCCTTTGCCCCAACTGGCCCTAACTGAACATTCAGCCCTAAACACCTTTCTTTTGCAACTTGGACAGGAGAAGCCATTCCGCACCAGATGCAAAAATGTCGAGGCAGCTGTTCCGTTCAAGTAGAGCAGAAGTACGTCGTCTCGGATTTAGACACGGACTGATCAGCCTTTGCATTCTGAAGCCTGAAGCTATGGACACACAGCCCGTATTCATCATGTTGCAGCCTGGTGCCCAAGCTGCGAGCACATGTGTTCCACAACATAGCATCATCATCATCATCATCATCGCCATCATCATCATCATCATCCTCACCATCATCATAATCCTGCCATCCTTATCAAGTTTTCGCGTGTGGATCATCTGACAATGCCCTAAACCCAAATTGTCCAGTCTTTAAGATGCTTCAACATGCGCCGCGGCGAAGCATTTAGGGTTCAGGGTTCAGGGGGAAGTCTAGATAAAAGAGTGACTCAGCACCTCAGAGATCCGCATAGCAATTCCCAAAATCGGGGTCCCTTTGTAGGATCCTGATTATAGGGCTTCCCGAAAAGGCTGATTTCTGAAGCCCCGCAGATTGTGCTTAGGAACTTCTCTAAGCATGCGTGTCTTAACAGGTCTTTGATCCGAATGAGCCGCCACTCAAAGAGCGAAACTTCGCAAACATCGGCATCATCCAGGACCAAATGGCCAGAAGTGAGGGTTAGCATGGTATGCAACAAATTCTTCAGGATTGTTTGTATGGACAGCCCAGGAAGCCTTTGACCCCAAGCGTTATGCTTGTTCTTCACATGTACAGCTCTCAAGGAGTACATGGTGAACCCCATGCTGCTGGAGAAGCTTGTCGGGCAATCAGCGCGCATGGCGGTCTAAAGATATCCTCAGCAGCTGGCAGCATAGCCAAAAGTTGAGGATGAAAGGGTTAGGGCAGGCATTAGGGAAAACATGTGCTTTCTCAGCAGACCCACTTAGACCCCGGAGAGCTCTTGAATAGCTCCTGTTCTTTGGCGGATGAGATAGATTAAAAATATTTTCGGGGCCCTTCCAACCACGCGAGCAACGTCAAGCTCCGGAAGGAGGAGTAGCAAAGCAGCAGCCTCAACAATATTCAGCAGATGTGCTGAACAAAAAGCTCCGAATAGTCTCTGACGGTCGCACGTATTGGCCGTGCTCGTCTGAGCTTTCTGTACGTAAATTTGTTGCTTTCCAGGCATGGTTCTCATGCTACTTAATTTCTGAAGAGATGATCATACACCTGGAATGTCAAGCTGTAAGAAAGGCCGTCGAAGATGTGAAGCTGTAGGGATGTTGTGGTGCCAGCACGAAAGAGCTCAAACATCCTATCCCTAAGGGTCCAAGGATCCAAATATTAGGGCTTTATGGTCCCAAATACCATTCAGATTACAGCATTTGGGCCCTAAAACCCCAGTATTTGAGTCCTTGGACCCTTAGGGTATTGCTCCCTGGTTGTTCTCAAGCTGAGTGCTGGTGACCATGCTTCTGGGGAGTCAATGGGTTGAACCTCAAATTCCAAACTGTAAAGCTGGGCTGCACCGGAGACTTGAGAAGCCCAACCTTAGACGCTTTGTTGGCCAGTGTTTGGGTGAAAGGCTTAAGGTTCAGGATAATAAGGGTTTACGATTCAATGAGTTTGCGAGACAATCTTATTGGTGCTTGGTAGGGAATAAGGGTGGATAATCCCTGTATAATCCCTGCTAAATATCTTCCCTTACATCCTGCGAACCCCTAGTAAGTAATAGCATTCTGAAAAGGCCTCCTCTCTTTGCATTTGTTTAGGAGAAGATGGGTCGCAGCTCCCAAGCCTATTGTACGAAAGGGTTTTGGTCCAATTCAACCCCTAAGCTTACCAGGGGTAAGTAGGGAATACGGGAATATGTTGTCAGGATATATGTAGGGATTATATTCTCTTATTCCCTACACACCACCAGTAAGTAAAGTGTTTTGTGGCAAGGAACCGGAAGTTCGCCATCCGAGTCTACATGCTGGTGGCCCGAACTAAGCCGCTTTTGACGCCCGGGCCTCAAGAGACATCAGCCCCAGCCCAGGCACTGTAAGAGAAATGCAAACCAATCTTCTTACTGGGGGTTAGCGGAGAAGCAGGTAATATAACATGTCAGGATTATATTCCCTTAGTTAGTCCCGCTATCCACCAGTAAGTCCTTCCTGTATGGAAATAAGTTGATTCTTGGACGAGAGCCACTGTTGATTCCTGTGGAGGGCCTGTGTGAGTGGAAGGCTTCGGCTTGGAGATTTGGCGTTGCCAGCTGCGCATGGTACAGATGCCTTTGGGCATTGCTGGGTTCGCATGCCGAGGTTCCACTACAATTTCGGCTACGTCAAGCGTCCGGATCTCAGTATTTCCACCCGAAATCTCGTGGCAACCGCAGAGCTAGCTGGCTGTCTCAAGCAAGAGCATATGGATCTCCTGGAAAACATTTGAACCTGCAGATTTGTGGTACGGATCCCGATTGTGTGCAATAGCCAAGCCACAAACCTCCAAGCCCCACACCCTAACCCCGAAACCATCCAGTCCAGGCTGCGGCGAATTTTACGACGAGAACAAGTTCAACCGCGAAGATCTGTTCCGTCATGTCACCGAGCAGGAGACCTCCGTGACTTTAGGACTTACAGTATGATAACTCAGAGGGCTTCCGTATGGTTGTATAGGTGTATACTGGAAAATGGAAATATCTTTGCCATGGCAGGACGTTTTTGGGGTTTAGGGTTTTGAGTTTAGGGGGGTTATGATCCCAATAGTGGAGAATCAAATGGAAAAGAACATGGAACATGAAATGGTTACAGAGTTTATTAGTACGGGGCTTCCCACGATTGAGGGTACCGTTGCGGTCTCATAATACGGGCTATCGTATTTGTGGTATACTTTGGGGTTCCCCATTCATGAAAACTGCCCTTTTTTATTCCTACAAGGCCCAAGGTTTACGGTACTTAGGGTCGCGCAGGATTAGTACAAAGTGTGTCCTTCAGAAGGCATGGATTCGGCGCTTATGGTATGGGCTTTGGGCTTGCTTGAGGTTGCCGACGCCATGTTTTTTTTGCCAGCCAAGTTGCAGACGGTTCAGCACTACTCTTTCTGCTACATGCAGCGTGTCTTCGCTGAGCAGAAATAAGCTTACCCCAAAAGAAACTACACAAGGCCGTTGCGTTTAGGGCTTCCGGTGTTGTGCACAAGGGTTCGCTACCGGTGTTGAGGGGTTGCGGTGCTTTAACTGTCTTATGCAGACGTAATCTATGCCGTAACCAACACAAGGCAAGTGCAAGTCCCTTCGTTTCAGGGATTGACAAAGGGTGGTATTGAGTTCGCACATCCGTTAAGTAGCTTTTGCACATTGGGCCTCTCTAGATGCTTATCTGACCTATCTGTCCTGTACCCGGCTGGCAAACTGCAGGAGTTCCAGAAGAAACAAGATGATTTTGGCGAGTCTGCCGCCGCACAGCTGATGTCGATTGAGGACAGTTGCTCGTGTTGTTCCAAGCTTGTTTGGGCTCTGGGTTTGGATATGGACGTCTTCGAAGACTTTTGCTATTTCTGTTGCTTGGGCACTTTGGCACATTCAATGTCATATGGGATGTCGGGAGGGAGCAGCACTATGAGACCAAGAATTCTGGAGACTGTGCACGGCCTACGTGCTGGCTGAAGGTCTACCAAAGGACCATGCGGGATTTAGGAGGTGAAGGCTGTCATGGGCGCCGTCGCACTCAGACAATGACATGGCAAGAGGCGGCTGACAGCATGAAATGAACTCGGGAAGTCCCGTGACAAGACAGACAGCTTGTCACTCATGCTATTCTGCACCCGGTGTTCTCAGACATGAGGTCCCCTCGTATGCACCCCTGCCATCTTAGAATGATGAGGACCCCAAGAAGGGACCCCCAAATGTTAGGAACCGGCGTAGGAGAGTTTCTTGCAATGGGAGATCATTTTTGGGTTGCTTATAGCAGGAGCCTCATATCCTTGCATGCAGGTTGTGTCCCTCGTTTTTTGAAACTACCACCTCAAAACATGTGCAAGAGCGCGATGTGCTCAGAAGAATGGAAGCACAGCATTTGCTTGCTTAACCGCAAAACCAGCAGCCATACAGAGACCTAGTGCACCGCATCTGTGAATACTCCGCCCTCTGTATATAAAGTACTGGACTAGAAAACTAGGGCGCTGTGCGTTCCGAGTGCTGATCCAGTAGAGTCCTGCATTAGGATATTCATGGAGGCCACACCTTTAGACGTTTGTAATATATGCGCCAGGCAAGACTTCAGAGCTCTTCCCAAAGCTTCCTAGGAAGAAGATCGCCGAACCGCTTGCAACTTCCTTCTACTTCAGTATGTCTCGCGCAGGCGACACTCAAAAGCCGAATCCTTTGAAGTGTTCACCTCAAATCCCCAAGCTGTTTTAGACTCTAATCCCTAGAACCACGAAATTCTGAGCCCAAGCCCTTAGGAGCTTCAACATGGGAAGCTGATACTTTCTCCCATGTCCTGGACTCCCCAAATCCTTTCGACTGCGAGGACCTGGATAGATACCTGCAGGAAAACTACGGTATTCCTGCCTTCAGGCGAGGGGTCTAGGGTTTAGGGTCAAGGTATTTTCTGGGGTTGCACTTCTGACTGTACTTATAGTCGGGTTATAAGCCCTAAGTCCTCAACATAGTCATAGCTTGGTTCATAGCTTGGTTGTAAGTACGGATGCAAGTAGGTAGTACTTAATCCTGGAGCTCCAAGTGGGCTCAAAGTTCAGAAGGGCTTACCCACTCACCCGCTCTCCCTTAAGTACCAGAAAGCACCTGCGACAGTCAGCTGAGTTGATGCGGCCCCTGGCATATATAGACTCCAGGCTCAACCCGGTTTATAGTGTTTAGTGTTCAGAAGGGCTTAGGGTTTGTGGTTCAGAGCCATTGGTTTCGGGATTCCGCGTTTGAGGTCCGATTGTTGTGATTTCTGCGCCCCAAAGTTTGAATAGGCACCATCCGCAGTAGGGGCACCCAACCCTAAACCCTAAACCCTAAACCCCTAACCTTAAACCCTAAATCCCCAAAGGCTAAAACCCAAAACCTTTAACAAGGAAGAGCTTGGAATCCTGACTTCAGGCTCAACTTCTGGCAGCAAGTGAAAGCCATCTGCATGGAGGCACTCTGAGGGTTAAGTCTTTTTTCGTCGTGGTTTGGGGTTTAAGGTTTAGGGTTTAGGGTTTGGGCTGTTGGGTCTAGGATTGAGGAGTTCGGGTTAGCAGCCAGGATCTTCAGTAAGATGATAGTAGATTGCACAAACGGCTATAGTAGAGTCCACCCCAATGCCCCCTTTTTTGTAATATTTAGGCTGATACATTAAAGGTCTTTTGGGCGTTGGGTTTCGCCCTGAACAATACTATTGGGTTAAAGTCCCGAGTCCAGCGCTAAAGAATGTAGCCAAGAGGGGCTAAAGGTAGGCCATAAACCCACCTTAAGCGTGTAACCTTGAACCCTAAACCCCTGAACCCTAAACCCTGAACTCCAAGCCCCTAGACTCCAAGCAGTCAGCACTAAGCCCGGAAGCCTGTGCTGAGGGGTGAGAAGTACTTTACGGTTATAATGACCCTACTTATCCCCTTGTTCAGGGTTTTGCGTTTAGGGCTTAGGGTTGGCTATCCATGAACCTCCGAGTAGAGCCAAAAGTGCAAATCCAGCTCAGGATGCCGTTTCTGAAGGTTCTGCTGGGTATTTCCACGCTGGCTCTACCCTTACTTACTGTTTCTTAGTAGGGAATAAGGGAATAGACTCCCTATATAGTCCCTATATAATATATAGTCCCCTATTCCCGGCTATGAAGCTGTGAGTTGAACCCTTTGAATGATCCAAAGAGAAGGTGGCAAGCTGGGGAATATAGGTTTAGGGAATAGGGGTTTAGGGTTTAGGGTTTAGGGGTTTAGGGTTTAGGCTAGAATATCAGTGGATGAAGGAGGCCTAGGCGTCTCGGTAAATACTTTGCATCCATGTCCACTCCGAACCCTACACAACCTCAGCTCAAATTGCAGCTGTATAGTTTGAAATGGTCTATACCTACAGTTAGAAGTAGGCTATATAAGTACCCACGTACCTCCAAGCAGCGTACCTAGAGAGCCCCATATACTTTAATTCAGGAAGATACCCCAAATGGTACTCGGATCCCAAATATGGTTGTGGCCTTCTCCCAAACCATGAAGCCCAAATCCTGACGCGTGCTGGGCTCCCTGGGTACAGAGCTTAACCCTAAACCCTGCTTCGAGAACGACCTGTCCAGCACAAGGTCAACCTGGGCATGAAGGAGGGCATCGCTGAAAAAGCAAAGGCGCAGTTTGGGGTTTAGATTTTCGGTTCCTTTCTAGGGTTTGTAGGGCTTGTAGGGTTCCAGTGTTTGTACGGCATGTTGACCCTTTCATACACATGCTAGAGAACAATATATCTGGTTGGGTGTTTTGGGCTTTGAGTTTTGGGGGACAGTATCATCTCTGACCCTAAACCCTAAGCCCGAGACCCAAAACCCAAACCCGTGTGTCCCAGGTCCAGGGGTGAGGAAAGGATGCCATAGCATGCCTGAACCCACCATGCCACGATGTGCTTTTAGACCCTTCAAAAGCTTCGGGCTTAGGGTTTAGGTCTTAGGGTTTAGGGTTTGGAGGCGATATCATGTGGTGCATCTTAAGCTTCCCCACGATGTATGTAATGCGAGCCCCGCTTTTCCAAAACCCTTCTCCAATCAAGCAAGAGCCGCCTCAGTAGAACAAGGGCGCCCAAATGAGGCTTGACAGGTCCCAACATGAAACTTAGAAACTCCATCAAGAACTTGGGTTGCGTTTACGAGAACCCTGAACACGAACCCATGACAAGCATGGACCGAACAGCCCGCACGTGATCTATGTAGCAGGTTGCCACAATCCGCATAGGAGGGTTGGTTATTGGGCGTGCCAAGGTTTATTTGTTCACTAGAAACGCCTGGCTATGCCTCCGAAGTGGGTCCCCTCAGAAAGCCTTCAATTCGACAAAACTACCTATTGGGTTCTGCAACAACAACATCCAATCCCTTTGCACTTTTTTGGAAAGGAGCCAATAAGGTGCAGAAAAACCTTCCAGTTGGGAAATGTAGAAGATCATCCTCGAGGATACATCGGGGTTCTAGGTGTAGTTAGGGTTGAGGCTTCAGGGTTTGGGGTAGCTTAATATACTGCAGATCTTTGCTTGAGGTTGGGCAATTCGAAATCTTCGGTCTCGACATCATTGTAGATGCTGACCAGCGCCTGTACCTCCTCGAGGCGAACAGAGATCCTTCGTGGGTGATAGACGCCCAGGAGACTGGGCTGCACCTGCAAGTTCATTGGGGAGCTTCTCCAAGAAGAGGGGTTAGGATTAGGGTTTAGGGTTTAGGGTGGGTATTATGGGTCCCTGTTGAGGGTTCTGTTGGGGTTACTTTTTGAAACGTCTCATTTGTCGAAAGGTGTTTGTTGTCCGCTTCAACCATGCATCTTGTACCGAAGTTAAGGTGCTCTTCAAGCTCATGAACCCCTTATGCGAAATCCAGAACCTTAACCGAGACCTGAAACCCTCAAGCAACGCTAATAGTACTAGCAGTAACAGTAGAAACACATGAAACAAGAGTAACAATAGTATCAACGCCCTTCACCCTTAAGTTGTGCAAGATTCGCAAGGTGAAGAAGGCTATCATTCCCGACATGATCCGCGAGATGATGGAGCTTGTCCTTTGGGCATCTGGGTCTTTGCAAGGACTTTTAGGGTGTACTTCGGGTTCAAGGAGTCACAGGTTTCGGGATCTCTAAATGCTGCGCACTGAACAGTTGGGCTAGTAACATATGATATACCTTTCCCTAAACCCTAAACCCTATTCCTGGAGTTGTACCCTGAATCCCAGGCACACAGCGAGGAGGGCAAGAATAAGGAGGCTATGCTCCACTCTCCAATGCGGGGCTTTGAGGTCGGAGTTTCCGCAAAAACGAGATTGCCCTTAAGAGGGTATAGGGTTTAGGGGGCACGCGTATGGTTACAGGGTTTAGGGCCCAGGGATTCGCTTACAACACTGTAGGTCCATGGCATTGAGAACCCCACAGGTGTTGATCGATGAGGCCTTCGACTTTCAAGCTGTTGATGTCGAGTGATCTTCTCACCGCGGCCGGCTAACAGGCAGGTGCCATTCCTGAATGGGATGGAAGGCCTGAAGTCTTTTAATCTCCTGTCGGAAAACTTCAGCGACTTCAATAACGCATGCGTAGGCCCTCTTCCGGCAATATTGGGGCTCATACAGCACGACGCTGCCGTCTAAACGCAATATGATTAAGATTGCTAAAGATTTCGAACCAAACTACTATTACCTTCTGGTGCAAGGTCACCGCCCATCAGACAAGTTACATCCCCGCCAGACCAAAAATATCTTATACATCAATAATTTCTTCTCTGATAAAAATAGCTCTATGATTTCGGAGAAATATTTCTTAAAAATTGGTTTATCTGCAGAATCAAGATTTTTTTCGGAATACGAATTCTATAAAATATATCTCGAAATATAGAAATATATTAGATATATCACGAAAATATACATAAATTGAATCTTATCTATATAGAAATTTGAGCTTCATGACCGCCGTCAACAATGGGTTATTGCCCAATCCAATAAGGCTGCTCCAAATCATCGTTCAATCTCATATTTTTATTATTGGATTTGATATTATTTCTATTGATAATAGAAAAATAGGATGATTTGGATCTTTTGCCCTTGAATCGAATTTCTTAATTGATTTCTTGAAATTTCGCAAGCGCATCAAATTCTGATAATGAAAATCGAAAAAATCGACTATTCAATTATCAATTAAAAGATATCTCGATTTGAAAATATCTAAATCGCATCTTTTGATATTCCATGAATTGATTCAATTCGAGATCGGATCGAATATTTTTTCGATTTATCAATTAGATCTCAAAGAATTCCGTATCTCGCATAATTTGTAGATAGGATGGGATCTTTTTATCTCGATTTGATCGAGTGCCTTGAAATTCTAGAAAGAATGAAAATAAAAGAAAAATCGCCATATTCGGCACGATTCTCGTCCAGCATCGGATCTTTGCAGGATATGGATTCTATACGAAAATTGGTCGAATTTCAAATGAAAGAGAGAGAGAGAGAGAGAGAAAAGGATATATATATATATTTATTCATAGACGATTTTATTTCATCTCTTATAGATATAGATTATATATTATATCATTTTTTACGAAATTTTGAGATTTCGGGGCTCCAATAAAAGATCTAATTTATGTATCTCATCATATAGATAGAAATAATCAGAAATTGAAGGATTAAATATGATTTGAAGAATTCTGCATATAAATAATAGACTTATATAAGATTTTAAAAGATTTTGAATTTAATTCTGGAGAAATCATAAACTAAATTATTTTTTGAAATATGAAATAGATAATGATTAGAATAAATTCATTTGATATTCTATATTTGAAATTCGTCTACGTGAATCATTTCTTTTTTATATTTATTGAATTCTTGATCTATCGAAAATATATAGTTTACAAATATTTGTATGATCATGAAATCAAATCTTAAAATCTATTTTTCTTATTTCAAATCATTATATCGTTTAATTATGTCATAAGATACGAGCAATAATTATCTGAGATTTCATAAAATTTCATTCAGAATTTCTATCATATCTAATCAAATTTCTTTTTTCAAAGATATTTGAGAATCATATATGATCTAGATCGATCTCATTCGGATTTTTTTCTAGATTATATAAGAATATGATCTGGATTCGAATATATTTTTCTGAGATATGATTATAAAAACTCTGGGATCGTTCTGAATAAATGATTCGAATTATTCGGAAATAATTTGATTTACATATAATAATCGAATTGAAATATGAAATTCGGAATGAATTGAATTAATCCGGAATAATCCGGATTCCTCCGGATGATTACAAATAATCTAGATCTATTCGGAATAGATCTGGATTTTTCCGGAGTTCTTCCAAATGATATATGAATAAACGATTGAGATATATTCGGAAATATTCTAGAGAAATCTTTTCTTTTGAGATCTTAAGATGAAGATCTTTCTAATCTATTAATAATATCTTTAATTATGAGATGATTCGAAATGAACAAAATCTCTAATTAGAATTATAATAGGTATAGTCGATAAGAATCGATATCATTGGTTGGAGATATTCATATTGATTAAGATTAATAGAATAGAGAAGATATAGATAATTCATTCATATTTCATAAAAGTTTATATTGAATGATAATGCGAATTCATAGAGATCTATAGATGATAATAGATGACGAAAATTTAGAAAAATAGATAGATTTCGATGCGAATAGACGAATAGGGAGGAGATGGTTGATGGAATGAAAATACGATGAATAATTTAATATATAATTGAATTCGATTTTTTTTCAGAAAATTTAGGAAATATATAATATTCAGATTCTGAAGATCTCTATGCGTATGGATAGATTCATTCAATTAATAAATTATATTAATGATAATTTGAATCTTGAATATTATGATAGAATCTCGATTTTCATTATATGAATCGAAAATATTTCTTATTCTAAAATTAAATCTCAATATTCGGATTGATATGAGATGATAATCGAAAATATCAGAATTCTCGGAAATTCTGAATAATTCAATATGAAATTTAGAAGATTGATATTATATAAATCGATATTGATTATCTATTTCTATGATCTCTTGAATTAAAAGATATATTATGATTTTCAATTCAGAAGACTATGATTTTAAGATTTTGATAATGAAATATTTCAAGATATATTATTTTTCATTATAATTCTGAAAAATTCTTATGATATTCAAATGAATTCGAAAATGAGAAATAATATGTCATCTTAGATTTATAAAGATCTTGAAGATGATAAAAGAAATGAAGATTTGATGATAATTGAAGAATCTAGAGATATATCATATGAAATATAGATGGTATATTTCATTATATCTCAATATTGAAATAATTCGGCGTTCCGGAAATTTCGAGCTAGTGATATATATTTCAAGGATTACGAATTAGATAGATCTTATAGAAGAATAGAGATCTAGAAATATTCGTTTCTATTGATCAGATTAATGCATTTATATATATATATATTTTTTAAAAAAGATATATGATGATTTCGGAGGAGGTTTATAGGTTGCTTGCGGAGAAATCTATGAGAAGAAAGGGATATATTATATTATAATTTACGGAGCTCTGTATCGCAATCTCTAGGAATGTCGAATCTTCCCCTCTTCCGCGTCGTCAATTTGGATCCTAAAGAAAAAGTTAAAAGAGGGAACCGCAATTTATTTGATATGAATTGAATACGTCTCTTTACTTGAGAATGATCTCTTAAATCTAGAAATCTTTTCAAATATTTAATCTTCCGCACTGCAATTTATTGGACGGACCGAAAATTCGTTATCTTGCTATATCTTTAGATTTAATTGCGCGTCAATTCAAGGGATCAAATCTTCTATTTGAAATAATTAACGATTCTATATTGAAATATGAAAATTCTTCCGTCAATCAGATTATAAGAATTTTTTTTTCTGAATATTCTGCCTCTTCCATAAAATATCAATATATTTATCGCATCTATCCATTCGATAATATTCTTGGAAAGGAATTTAATATTAGAAATTTCGATAGGCATCTATATTCCAAAAATTTCGAATTATTGATCTATATTTCAGGGATTTTGAATTAGACGGATCTTGTGGAGGAATGGAGATACAGAAATATTTATTTCTATTGGTCTGATGAACGCAATAATTTATATATGTTTCTGAAATATAGTATATTTTTTTGTTTCTGAAGAAATTTGGGAATTTTATGGAGGAATCTATGGCAGAAGAAGGATATATTATGTCATTCTTTATAAGAGATTTGTATTGCGATCTTCGGATAGATCGAATTTTCGATATCTCATAATATTAGATGATCTCTTATATATCTATAAGATATGAATTAAGATTTCAAGATTTTGAAATAATATTATGGATTAATATTCTAGAATGAGAAAATATATTTTTTTTCAAAAATATTATCATGAAGAAAATTGAAATCGAAATCTATTTTGATATATCTCAAATATCACAAAATTTTCAATTTCTATATATAATATCGTTTTTGATATATGATAAATAATATATATTTGATATGATTTTTTCTAGGATATGTCAAAAACCATATATCATATCTTCTCTAATATCAATAGAATGATTTTTTAATTTCCTCAGAAATTATTCAAGCCCATTTTTATATCAAAATGAATATCAAAGAAACATATTTTGATATATCATCTTCGTAGATATCGTATCATATAATATATTTCTCTATAATCTTTCTAATAATCAAGAATGAAAATTTAAATAGATATCAATTTTTTTCTCAATTCATTATTCTTATGAATTTCTGAAAATATGATAAAAGTAGATTAGATATGACCAATATATATATATGCGTATAATAGATGTAATCCTCTAAATTGAATATAAACAAAAAATATTTCTATCTCCATAGAAGATATGATATTTTGATTTTAGAATTTTTCTCTTCATGAATTTGACCTATCATTATCATCTATCTATGAGATAATAATTCTGTAATTGAATTCTATTTCATCTGGAATAATGATATATCATTTTCATTCTTTTATATTATATCATTATCCGAATATGAGAATTCGGCATTTCTGAATTTCCAAATAATTTCATGATCTTCATTATTTCATTTTTTATCTAGATAATTTTCTATAATTTAAAAAATCTCTCTCTTCAAATATCGAATTTACGGAATCTTCCAGAATTGAGAATCTGAAAACATATATACGAATATATATTCATAATTCTGAAGATCTCAAATCATATCTGATATTAGAAATATTACTCCATATCTATATCTTGATATAAGATTCTGAAAATATGAAATCAATCAATCAATTTTCTGAAATTAAGAAAATTCAAAATGAAATCAATAGATCAATAATTTTGGAAGATGAGATTTAATCGATTCTAGAAAAGAAGAAAAATGGAGATATATATACGGCAATATCCATTAAATAAATATATATTATATATAAA